CTGAACCTTGATGCATGCCTTCCTTTCTGGCTTCAAGGATGGGGAGAAAACCCAGCCCTTCAGTGCAGGACCACCCAGCAGTGCAGGAACCTTCATGCCTACCTGGTGTCATTCAATCTCAGGTTATTCTTTCCCAGTCTATCCTGCTCCAATCCTTGCCCAAGAATCCGAGAAGAACAGCTTATTTCTGTAGCAGCATAGATACATGAGAGGGTACATAAATCTGAGTCTCCTGACCCTTCAGCATGTGTAGCAGTGGAGACCTGAAACCAAATATGTTCATAACAAAAGACCCTAGGAGTTTGTGGGCAAGATGGGTGAAATTCCTTCAGTTTTCAGGATGATCTGCTCTCCACTTAAGCCAGTTACATCTAATACAGCCATCTTTAAGATTCTGGTCAGACCAAAGAGGAATCATATCCCTCCTATTCATCTTCTACCCTAACCCCTCCTTGCTTCACCGCTTCTCAGATGAGGGTAGCATAAGTTAGAGGGGCTAGTAGAATTTTTGGCTCATCCACACCCACATCTTGGTCTAATTCATTTATTCAGTCTCTTCATATATAGGAAAGGAAAATTGTTGAACAAGTCAGTGCTGTTGGAAGTACAGATGTTAAGCAAGCATATGTCAGGGAAACACAAACTTGTCTGAAGGAGTCAAGAAACCTCTATGACATCCCAGTTAGCTGTCATTAAGAATTACTCCCCATCAGTGAAGAAGCTGTGAAGATAAGCTGCTGCCCCACACCAAGTTTCTGATGTGTCCTAGAGATGCATTTAGCCTCCTCCTTCCCCAGCACCCAACAGAGCATCCAATTCCAGATCCTTTAGGGACAATCCAGATACCTAACTGAACTTTCTTTTGGAGATCTCTTCCTGCAGCCCAGTTTCTCCTACTTTTTCACTCTTGGGGATTGCAGTCCAGATCTTAATCCCACAAACTTTACCAACACCTTTCTCCTGCCCTTGGTCCTGCTTCTGGTATTCCATATATCACCTTGGACTTTCCTGACAGGGGACCTAAGTACCCACCCCTCCCTCAGAATCAAATACACCTAGAGGGGTTGGTTTTGCAAACTTTTGCTGCCCCCTGGGACCAGTGACTGGATATACTGCTGGCCCCTGTAGCCCATCTCAGGTTTCTCTGCCCTGGACCATGTCGGTGCCCTTCTAGTCCCAGCAGACTGTGTGGTTGCAGCAGCAAGCCATGCAACAGAAGAGCTCCCAGGAGTCTGTATCCTATTGCCATGCCCATCCCCTGATGCCAGACATTTGAATTCATTGACCTTTGAGACCTTCTATTTTATTGTTTGCCTTCTGGTCCCCAGAACCTCCGCTTGCTTTGACCATGGCTAATTTCTTGCTTGATCTCCTGGCTTCTTTTTTTCCCACTGGGGTCTACTCTCTGTTTGCCATCCAGGACCCTAATGCGTACCTGGATGTCACTCATCCTGGCCTTTTTGGCCCATTCTGTTCTGCTCTAGCTTTTGACCAAGAGCAGCTTATTCTAGCGTCAGCATGGGTAGGGGTATATAAAGCTGAGTCTCCTGATCCTTCTGAATTGGCAGCTGTGGTAGATTTGTGTGTTTGTTCCTGTATTTGAGTCAAGGTCACAGGCTTGACTGATCTTACTGCTACCAAAAAGGAAGTTATAAGAGTAAAAATAAATCCCCAAAGCACTCTCTATCTCCAACACAAGTTTTGACCTTGCAAGTCGCTCCATCATTACTTGCTATACAGATCGGGTCCAGGTGACTTCTGACTAGGACTCATAAAATGCACTGTGAGGCAATCCTCTGGCATCTATATTGGTAATCACTAAACTTTACATGATTTGCCCACTAATTATGGGAGAAAAAGTACCATGCTATAAAACTTTAGAATCTATGCAATAGTCCTAGTAATAATAATAGCTAAATTTATTGAGTGCTTACTCTGTATCAGGCAGTATGCCAGGCACTTCACATGGATTACCTCATTGAATCTTCCCAGCAACCCTATGAAGTAAGTGCTCTTATTATCCCCATTCCATAGGTGAGAGAGGCACAGAGAAGTTAAGTAACTTGCCCAAAGCTCTCAAACTGAATTAGTGGTAGAGCCAGGATTTGAACCCAGGCATTCAGACTCTACAGCCCTAAAAACGATTAAGGTTTTGTTTGGTTATTTTTTTCCCACACAGCCTGTCTTTGCTGTGCTGAATAATATGTTCCCCAATTTTTCACTTTACTTGGTCTATAAGCTTGAAGCATGATATAGCCTAATATTTCTACTTTTCAGCACCTTCATTATTTGTCAGATATATTTGAAATTATAATCTTAGACTGACCTAGGGCTGAAAAAAATCTACTGGTCTAGAAATGTAATGGACTTTAGCCAAACTGTATTGTTAGTAGCAACATCAACCAGGTCCTACTTGTTAGAGAGAAGCAGTATGAAGGAGGGAGCAGCAATTTTCATTTTTGATAATTACACTTCTAACTTCGTATTCTTCAAACAGAGCCTACAAACTCTTTGCTAAAGCATCTGACATGGGAAACTTGAAAGCTATGGAGAAAATGGCTGATGCTTTGCTATTTGGAAATTTTGGCATGCAAAACATAACAGCAGCTATCCAATTATACGAGTCCTTGGCTAAAGAAGGATCATATAAAGCCCAAAACGTGAGTTTTGAAAGAAAATTAAACTTTAAATAGCTACATCCTGAAATAATTATAGGCAAATAACATGTGAGAGGAGCTGAGCCTCTACTGCATGAGCCCAGGCCTAGGAAAGTTACTGTAATGCACTGAGTGTAATGTTCCGGTCAGGGCAGGAACGAGCAGGAGCCCCGGGCAAATTCTTCTAGCTCTTGAGTGACTTTCAGGAATGGAGCAGAGCTGCTCTCTAACCCACCTTCCCACCATCCATGTCCATGTGTGTGTTTTGAAATAATGTGAGAACTCTGAACCCCTAACATAGTTAAATTTTATATAAAATATATTCACCTATGCAAAGAAATATGGAACTAAATCTCCTACCTTAGGATGCCTGGTTTTTACACTTCAAATATTTTATGAGCTATATATATTTCCTTTTCTATTTTAATATGTGTATTTCATTTTATTCCAAGAATAACATAAGCATTTCATAGAAAATCTGGAAAACAGAAAAAAAAAAAAAAAAAGCCCTTCACAAGCCAACCATCCTGACTCAACTACTGTTAGGACTGCTTTGTATTTCTGTTTGCCTTCTTCCTCTGTGCATCTTTCTTTTTAAAAATATCATCATAATCACATGTATTATGATTATGATGTATCATTTTGTTTCTGGTTGCTTTCACTTAATGCTATAGCAAAAGTATGTTTTCATGTTGCTGGTCTTCTTTTTTTTTTTTATAAATATCCAGTGCTTTTTTTTTTTTTTTTAGATGTTGGGGGTAGGAGTTTTATTTATTTATTTATTTATTTTTGCTGTGTTGGGTCTTCATTCCAGTGCAAGGGCTTTCTCTAGTTGTGGCAAGCGGGGGCCACTCTTCATCACGGTGCGTGGGCCTCTCACTATCGCGGCCTCTCTTGTTGCGGAGCACAAGCTCCAGACGCGCAGGCTCAGTAGTTGTGGCTCACGGGCCTAGTTGCTCCGCAGCATGTGGGATCTTCCAAGACCAGGGCTCGAACCCGTGTCCCCTGCATTAGCAGGCAGATTCTCAACCACTGTGCCACCAGGGAAGCCCTTTGCTGGTCTTCTTAATGAAAACATTTCTTTCTGATCACAAAAGAAATTTATGCTGATTACAAGAAAAACCAGGGAATTCAGAAATTATGAGGAAGACACTAAAAGTTGTCTAAAAGCTTTTCCCATAGATCATTTTTGTTTCCATCCAGTAAAGTGTAGAAGCTAAGCTTTGGAGTCAGGCAGATCTAAGTTCAAATGCACTCTACCACTTGCTTATTGGATAACTACTTAACAAAACCCTTTCCCCTTCTTCTGCATGAGAATTTGACCTTTGGTTCACTCTCTACTTCTGTGTCCCTGGTAATATGATAGGAGTGAAATGTTAACTATGTTTCTAGGTAGTATTGCTTATTGTTCAAATGAACTCTACTTGGTAAACTACCTTTGGACTGGGAGAAACTGTCATGAACTATAAATACCGGGATTATTCTTACCGGGATCCTGGACACTATGCCTATGGAGTTGTTACAGGGGGAATATGAGGCTTTTATGTCAGGTTGCCTGTTGCACCACCCAATGTGGATCTCATCCCCTTGTGTCTGAGTCACCTGAGGGACCAAAGATGAGGGCTGCTGGAGGACTATGTGACCTGCTGCAAGGACTCCCACAGAAAGGAGGCCTCATGCTGCCCTGCTGGCAAACTGTGATTCCTGTGCTACATCTACCTGAAGAAACTGGTGGCATGTGTAGCCTGTGGGAGTCTTGTGAGTCTGCATATTTATTTGAACCAGAAGTTGGACGAGAGGAACTCTAATGGGTGGGATAACCTCTCTAATTTTCACCTGTAAAGTTAGGATAATGATAAAACACCAGGTTCTATGTCTATCTGGTTCACTGCTATATCTCTAAAAATTTAGTGCAGTGCCTGGGACAAAAAATATTAGTTGAATGCTGAATTAATTCATGATGAATGAATTAATGGAGTTGTGAGGATTAAAATAATGTGTGAAGGCACTTAATTCCATACCTGGAACTTTATAATCATTCATCATAAAAGATATAAATGCAATTATTACTCTTACTATTATTCTTCCAGAATTTTTCCTATAAGTATGTAGAAAATTTTTTACAAAAATGAGACATACTTTAATTGCTGTTTCCTAATCTGCTCTTTACTCACTTAATAATATATCACAGATATCTTTCCCTGTGAATATATCCCATATTTGGTTAATCAAAAATATAAAGTTCCAAAACAGACCAAATGTTACCATCATGACCACCACAACAAATAATGTCACCTAATTCCTTTCTAAACTAGTGAATATGTGCTTTTTTTGTTAGTGGGTATATTAATTAATTAATTAAGTCAACAGTTGTTTCTTGGACACTTACTATGTACCACACATAATCCTGTTCATGGGGAGAAAAAGATTAATAGGCCAAAGTCCTTATGGGCCAATCTGAAATATAAACAAATAATTTCAGCATAATTTAGGCGGACTAGAGTTAAGGTGTGTATAAAGTGCTTTAGGCACAGAAAAGGGTCTGACTGGTTTTGCCTGAGGCAGGTAGGGAAGGCTTCAAGGAAGAAGCGACATTTGCTCCCAGTCTAGAATATTGGATACAGGCAACATGAAGGATTTGTCTATATTTGAATAAAGTATTTGATGCAAGGGTCAAAGTACTACTCTCAGAAAAAAAAATTCCAAATTAACATAATTGGTACATAAAACATATGGATTTTAAAGCTGAAGTCAGAGTTTCACTCCACATACTCTAGTTAGAATTGTTCTATCGCATGGCCCCAGACCTCCTGTCTATCTATGTGTGTTTGGTCTCAGGAGGACAAGAAGACAAAATGTGCGTGAGGACAGACTTATCACCTGAAAGACTGACATTGACCTGATATGCAAAATTCAGCCACACTGTTTATTGAAATGCTACAACAGTTGTTGGAAAAAGTCTCTGTCCCAAGCTCCTCTTATGCTCTTCCTGACAACCTGAACACCCGTATTCTTCACTTGGACTTCCCCCTCCTCCCTTCAGCTCCCCATTTTCTTGCAGCCAAAGTGTTATCTGGATGGGCAGGGAGCTTACAGGACCCTGTTCCAGTGCTACAGCTGGATTCTATTCTGAAATTAACTATCATCCCTGTCATCACTATAGGAAAATCTGTTTCTGATAACAAGTCCTCTTGCAGTTGATTTATCTCCTTATACAAAGAACAATTAAAGATATTCCATGGTACAAACAATGCTTTGTTTGATGGCTGGTTGCTGCGACAAGGCTGGCCACATGCCATATTGATCACAGCTCTTTAACAGGACTGGCCAGGTGACCACCTTTCTTCTCAGGCTGTTTGTGCCAGCCTGATACAGGAATCCAGCCGCACTGGTAGAAAATATTGCTGGGAACTGCGAGGACAACGTAGCAACAGAAATGTAGCTGAAGAAGTTGAAATGTATACTGAGAATGATAATGAAAGAGAGTGAGAGAGATAGACATAAAGATAGAGAGAAAATGAGAATGAAGATACCTATCTCTGGGGGAAAAGGGTAAGAACAATCGGAAATACTGAAATGTTATAGATGGGAGAAGCCTGGAGTGCCAGAGGGCTAGTAGAGACCTGATTTAACAAAGAAAACAAAAAAGATATGAACTCAGATTCATGCAGGCATTGAGGGGGTGGGGGAAGAAATGCAGTTTCAGGCTATGTATAAAAGGAAAGCTGGATGGAGGAAAAGAGGCATACTTATTTCTTTTCATGCACCTTGAATGGTTCATCTCACAAAAAATCCAAATAAACTAAAAGAAATCCTGATAAGGGCAATAAAAACAAATAAGATTGTGAACAGACTCCATTGAATTGATTCGCAAAGAATCTGTACCTTCCAAATAATGAAAACTATTCACTAATGGTGTAGTCTTCATGAAAATGGTGAAAATTGAGGAAAGAACAAACAAAAATAAGCCATATTTTAGAGGATGTCATAAGATATTGTAGTATACCAGCTGGAGGTAGATAAATTATGTATTTTTTATTTCTCTGATCCTCATTTAAGGAAGCAGAGATTCAGAACTAGAAAGACTCATTCTTTTCTTGATACTGATGAACAGTTTCAACAGAAAATTTGTCTGTTAATTTGCCAAACAAGAAGGTAGGGTTTAAACCTCATTTGCTTTGAGAATCAAGAAATGGATCATAAATGGATAACTAATAAGAACCTGCTGTATAAAAGAATAAATAAAATTAAATTAAAAAAAAGAAATGGATCATTCACATTGTATCACCTTAAAATTAACTTAATCACTGTAATGATTATTAACACTGTGCTACTACTGAAAAAAAATCATTTTTAGTATCAAATACTCACTTTGATAATTCTAGGATTACCTGTGTAGAGCATTTCTTTTTGACGTTAATCATCTTTTTGTATTAAGGGTGCAAAAAGGGTCTGAGTTTTCCATCAGGGTTGATTCACACTTCTGTTTGGCATGCAATTTGAGCTAAAAGTAATGACCACAGATGCTTTCAAGCCCCGTACAACAATTATAATAATTAAATGCTTAACCTTTTTACTCTTTTAATAATGCCTTATATAACGAGAAAAAGGAGGAACATTTAATTTTTAAGTTGTTATTATGGAACCTGAGTAATTTGCTTTGAAATATACTAAAATATCCTCTGTACTTAACTCTTTCCATTCAAATCCCAGTGACTATAACACAGCACAATGGTTGAGTTCAGAGTCTTATAAACAAATCTAATTTGCAGAGCTTGACCTTTTAAAACCACTGAAAGTATCATTGATGTCATCACTATAGTGTAGCTTCTCTTCAAATCACAGCATTCTTTTTCTGGATTAAGATTTAATCATTCTAGGGCTTCCCTGGTGGCACAGTGGTTAAGAATCCGCCTGCCAATGCAGGGGACACGGGTTCGAGCCCTGGTCCAGGAAGATCCCACATGCTGCGGAGCAACTAAGCCCATGTGCCACAACTACTG